TTGAAACCATACCATTTTTTGTAATTTATATAACATTTTAAGGGTAATTTCGTCTTTTCAGCCTTAGAAGGCTATTGTGGGGAATGGTTAAAATTTTTGGGCAAAATGGAAAAAGGGTGCTTTGACTTGGGCATTTTGAAAAGTACCCCGGGGACTTGAGCAGGTGCACCTTGCGTTGACGGGTAAGGTGGGGGAGATGCGGGTCATGTTCGTGACCAACGATGGCAATGAGAGTTTTGTGATATATGGGTTGACCCGAGAGAATATGGACCGGGAAGTGAGCACCAGGCCCCAGGATTGAAAGGTATAAGAGGGAGGATCTCTGTGACGTGCCCCAGCTAATGAGGAATGACAGCATTGGGTGGAGGGACCCTGGGTTTATACATGATGGGTTCTTGGTTAATTTGCAGAAAGGAAAGAGGTATTATTATCAGGTAATTCTTTACTCAAAATTTTTGGTAACACTTGTGTAACTTCTTAGTAAATTCTTCATCATTGGCATGTGTTTGTAGTTTGCAGATTCAATTAGCTTAAATTTTTGGTTTTTCTTGTACACTTCTTTTCGAGTTGACTGTTTAATTCCTGAAAATCTTAATGGGAAGAAATTGTTGAAGTGACTTCTTGTTGATTCAACTGATCAACATGCGTACTTGTTTACATTTTGTCTGAATCCATATAATCAAGAATATGACTATATCTTTCCTCGTAACCATGGCAGGTTGGTTGTGATTCCGGGAGTTGGAGCACAACTTATAGCTTTGTGTAACCAAACGAGGATTCTAGTGAAACCACTGCTTTCTTATTTGGGGATATGGGGACTGCAACTCCATACTCAACTTTTGTCCGTACACAGGACGAGAACATATCCACCATTAAGTGGATAAGCCGAGATATTGAAGCTCTTGGTAACAAGCCTGCCTTTATCTCCCATATTGGTGATATTAGCTCTGCAAGAGGCTACTCGTGGTTGTGAGACAACTTCTTCTATCAGATTGAGCCTGTTGCATCCAAAGTTCCCTAACCTGTATGCATCGGTAATCATGAATACGATTGGCCGTTTCAGCCTTGGAAGCCCAATTAAATGGGATCTATAGTCTCAGATTCCGCATGACTGGAAATTCCTCAAATCCTACTGGAACTCGAGCCCCTTGTACAAGGAACCTTTACTACTCGTTCGATGTGGGGGTAGTCCGTTTTGTTTATTTTTCAACAGAAACCAATTTCCTTCAAGGTAGCAAATAGTACGACTTTTTGAAGCATGACTTGGAATCAGTTGATAGAAATAAGACTCATTTTGTGGTCGTCCAAGGGCACAGGCCAATGTACACAACCAGCTATGAAACAAGAGATGTCCCTCTTAAAGATAGGATGCTCGAGCACCTAGAACCTCTTCTTGTAAAGAACAAGGTGACACTTGCATTTTGGGGTCATGTACACAGATATGAGCAATTTTGTCCTCTAAGAAACTTCACACGTGGAAGCTTGGGCATGAATGAGGAGGAATGGAAGGCGTTTCCAGTGCACCTTGTGATTGGGATGGTTGGACAAGATTGGCAACCTATCTGGCAACCACGACGAGACCACCTGATTGTTCTCGTTTTCCCACAACCAGTTTTGTCATTGTATCATGGTGGTGAGTTTGGCTATGTTTGACTTGTTGCCAATAAGGATAAGCTCACATTATCTTATGTAGGAAACCAGGATGGAGAGGTACACGATGCGGTCGAGATCATGCCTTCAGGACAAGTTCTTAACGGCATCGTTACTCCTGATGGGATTGCAAGAAGGGACAAGGTGGAAACAACATCTTCATGGTACTTTATGGGTGCCGGAGTACTTGTACTCGGCGCTTCTCTCGGGTATATTCTTGGTCTTGTTTTGCGCTCGAGAAAAGATGCTGCTATGGGCAATAGATGGAATCCTGTGAAGAGT